TCTTTGCTGGGCTATGTTAGTATCTGCTGGTAAGGACGGGGTAAGAAGACGCCCGCGTTCGTTTCGTTGAGCAGAGTCTTGCTCCGTTGGAAGGCACGTCGGGTCGGCAAGAAGAGGTCGGGGGATCGAATCATACCGAGAAAGAAAGTAAGGCCGGCAAGAAGAGAAGAGTAGGGATTGCTTTTACCACGTTTCCAGCACTCCCTTCCCACTTCTGCCAAGGTACCACCTCCGGCCAAGGGGACGACGATGGGAGCTTCATATTGTTGAAAATGGGGATGAGACCGGGAGGTAAGCAGCACCAGCACCGGCACCTGCTCCTGCTGCTGCTGCACGGTAAAGACCACACATCTCACGCAGCAGGAAGGCGTTGCAGCAATCAGCACTACCTCCCTCCTGCCTCACGAACGAACGCATCGGAAGCACTCCGGAAACAACGGGCAGGAACCCAACCTGACCTGACGCAGGAGACAGAAAACAGAAAGCAGCAATCCATTCCGCACCTTGTCTCCCTGCCCGGCCAGGCCACGGACACCTTGGCTCCAAACCTTGACCCTACCTCTTACTGATTCGACCTGATCGTACGGTCGTACCTGCTCCTGCTCCTGTTCCTGCTCCGACATGTCAAGGAATTGTATTAAGGCAAGTCCCGTTAAGTTGCCGTTGTATTATGTAGGGGGAAAAAAAGGGTACTTGCATTCTTACAAAGGCTTGGGGTCCTAGACCTTGCTTTTTGTTTTGCGTCTGCATCCTCATCCGCATCCGCAACGACACTTGCCTCTATTCAGACTTGCAAGCAACAAGGGTCGACGGGATATTGCGTTTTTGCACCTCGATTTTTGCTTTACTCCTCCCGGTTTTATTGCACTGGTACGTCGTCCCCTCTTTAAGCTTCACACCTGTTTCTCAATATGCCTCATCTGCGTTATTACCGACTCCGTTAAATCGTTGCTCTTTATTTTTTTCCAAATTCAAATTTCCGTTGGGGGCTGCCATTCCCGTCCTTCCCTCCCCGGCCCCATATGCCCGTCAACGGTGAACCATGCCAGCTCTGCTCTCACTACCTACGGATACGTCCACGTTCTTGGGATGACCTCGGAAGTTCGTGCTAGCTCACACTCGTTCCCCCGTCAGCTGCGAGACACCAAAGGCCAAAACCAACACCAACACTCGAGGTGGTGGTGGTGGCCGGGTGTTCGTTCCGTTTTTTTTTTTTTCCCTCGTTTTTTTTAGGGACTACGCCTAAAAGACTGTGAGACTAAAGATTGGTGTGGGTGTGTGTGCGTTCGTTCGTGTGTTTGTGAGGGGGTGATCTCGGGACTCACACAGATCCCTCGTCCCAACACGCTGTCCCGCCCCGCTCCGCTTGGCCTGTGACAGAATGGTAGCGGCATGGCGCTATTCTGGTCATCTTAGCACCACGGCTGTCAGTGACATGGCCGTCTGCGCCGCTACGGATACCTAGTCCACGGTTTCGCAGCACCTGATGGAGACTGCTTGTGGCTGTCACTTGCACGCCAAAATAGACGGTAGCTGCAACAACGGCACCCGGGCATTGTCGTTGAAGTTTTTAGATACCACACACGGGCAGACACCAGACACCACCAGACACAGGCATGTCCATCAAACAAGGACCCCATCGATCGTCATCTCCATCTCATGTTACTCCCGAGGCCTAGAACTTTTCACCTGAACTGTCACTGTGTGTGGATTCTTGACGACTTCACAAGCATCGTCGTTGTCGTTTTCCCTCCCCTCTTTTCTCGCGGCTCAGTTATTGGCATCGTCACCGGGCCCCTGGGCTGTGTTGTTGTTTTTTTTAGCCTGTCAGGCCAGCTCGAGGTGGTAGTGTCTCCTGCCCACCTATTTTTTATGGTCTATGCAACTCTGGCTGCTCTGAACAGGCCACGGCTCATACGGCTCATGTCCGCTGTCCACCCTCCACAATTAACCTTCTCTCCTCTCCTTGCGTGTCTCCGTGTACGTGTTTCCGTTTGGCTGGCACTTGGGGGCCCAATTCGTCGTCTCCATCCTCATCAGTCTCCAATCGTCTCCATCTCCATGCCCATCTCCATATCCTACCTGCCTACGAGCAATATCATGAGCACGAGTGGCTCCGGCACTAACAAGGGCGCACATCATGACCCTGGCTCGAGAGCTGTCCTCCAACAACCGAGTCCAGACCCTCCTGTCTCCGTCTCCGTCCCTGTCCTCGTCTGTCTGGCGTCTGCTCCTGCTCCTGTCCTCTGCCACTGCCACTGCTGCTTTGACGTCCCAGGAGAGGAGCTTCGGCCAATACCTTGCCGAGTGTCCAGGGCGTCCCCAAGGTCAGGTATCCGTACGGAAGTCAGAACCACGGCCCGTAGTTTGAGGTACTGCCGGCCTGGACCCTACATCCCGGATACAGCAGCATTCGAGGACGGCTGGCGTTGCAGCTTACGGACCCAGACCCTTCAACTAAAACGACTGAGATCCCCGGTGTCTGCCACCTCAAAGGGATCTTGGCCAAATTCTACAACACCCGGAGGAAGCAACGATTAGCAACGACTGGAGTGTGCAGGTGTCCAGCGGCCAGGCCACTCCCCACTCACGCAAATCAACCGGGACTCTGTGGGGTTTGAGGTGTTGTGTAACTTGTTGCTTGCCTTGGGCCTGCCCTGCCTGCCTTGGGTTGTGTGAGTGAGTGAGTCGACGGCGGTCCACGTCCACTAAGGTGTTGAGGTTTGAAGGTGGGCTTGAATCCTCGCCAGCCAGGCCGTCGTTCGTTGCTCCTCACCTGAACCATACCTCCCCTCGCGCAACGACGAACTTAGACCGGGGCGAACAACTTGCTGCTGCTTCTCACTAACCGACACCACGTCGGCAAGGCGTAACTCACTACTGCCCGCTACAACTGCGCTACTTGCGCGATCCTCTGTGTGCCCGTCTCGGTGGCTTCTGCCATCACAGGCTTCACCCGTCCTAACGGGCACCTGGTCTTTTTTTTTTTTTTCGATTCCGAAGCAAGCATGTAAGTTGGACTGCTCCTTCTTGTGTGCAAGGTGAGGTGAAGTCAGTAGTAAAAGCATGCACCTACATACCTACCAAACCAAACCAAACCAAACCAAGTCAAACAAAACCAGCCAGCACCTTCCTTCAACCATTGCACCTTTCATCTGGGCACCTCCAGTGCCTTCCTGCCACTTACTCCTGCCTGCGTTACCTCCCTACCTACCTTAGGTACCTACCTGACCCGGTCAGCGCTGCAAAAGGCAATCGCTCCAAGCCGTTCACGCCTTCCTTCTGCCTGCGTTAGCCGCTACCACCCAACCTTCTTCCTCCCCTCCGCTGCCCTACCTCACACCTACCTACCTTAAGGTACACACCCGCCCACGAACCGACCTTGCCTTTGGGTTCCTGCACGCGCTACAGCTCTATATGGCAGTAGGAGTGGGCAGCTCTTACTCTTTTTGTCGATCCGTGCCTCTCCTTCGAAGTGTGGCAGCCCCAGGTGTGCCTCACAGGTGTGCTGTATCCGTACTCTACTCGGTACCTGCTTTTGTACTCGACGTATCCCTCCTCCATCCCACCCACTCGCGCTCCCCTCCAATAATCATCATCGTCACCACCATCCTGCCAAACCGCCTCTGGGCCGTTTGATTCAATTTGATTTTTTTCCTTCCTTCCTCCTGCCCTTTCCCACTTCTACGCCTTTTCACCTCTCCTGCCTTTCCCGACAGCGAGCCGTCCGTCGTTGGGCGTCTTTTCGTCGTCGCATGTGCTGAAGCGCTGACCTTCACTCGTTTCAAACTCCAGCGCAAACAGCGACAGCTACCTACCCACCTCAGCGGAAGAAATATCAGCTACTTTACCCGACCTCAACCTTGAAAATCTCCCATCTCTCCAACCACACATACAACTAACCCGGTACCAACCCCGGCTTTCGGTAGCTGAGCCTGCTTTTCCACCGCTGGCGCGCTCCATCCATCTCCGAACCCGAGGTCCTTCTCCAACCTCACCTTCGCACCTCAGCCAAAACCGCCCCAGTCACAAGCTTTCAGGCTTGTTTCCTTGCGCCGCCCGGGTTCCCTCCCGTTGTCACTCCGATTACCAAAGTCGGTCCTGTCCTGGGAGGCCTACAACGAAGCTTCAAGTTTTCAGCAGGACTTGTCCAGTTCGCCATTGCCTCTCCTGCGCCGCCTGCCCCGTCTCTTGCCTCAGATCGGAGCACAGCCGCTTCTGCTTTGCATTTAAAAGCCCACCAAGAAACAAGGCCCCACTACAGTCCTCGGCCGCCGAGTATCTGACAAGTCTTGACTCGACTGCCAGGGACTTCGGGTGGCTTTTCGCCACTGAGCAAGTCAGCAGACCCCACCACTACTCCAACTGAACAGGGCCCTTCTGTACTGCCCTGTGGTCCTGTGGGTTCGACCTGCACCCCCGGCACCACGAGCCTTTGGGAACGCACGCTTGCACGACACCCCCCTGCTCTCAGCGCCCATCGACCCCTACCTGCACCCCGGTACCATTTAGGACCCAGAACCTTTTAGACTGGCGGGTAATCGCCTGCCAGGCCAGTCGGGTCTCCAGTCACTGGCCTTCTGCTCCAACATCTTGGTCCCGAAACGAGATCTCGTGTCTGGTTCTTGTCTCTGTGGGCTCCCACTTCCCTTACGACGCTCCGGCTGCAACTTGCCACGGGGACCACGCCGGTGCAGTGTCCTGCAGCTCTGGATACCTCACTGGATACCTCAAGAGGCAATGGTGTGAGGTCAACCACTTACATACATCCCCGGATCACGAATTGGTGAGTACTCGACTACCCACGTACCTACGTACGGACACGCACCGCAACTTTGCCTCACCTTTTTCTTTTGCTTTCGTTTTGTCTGGCTACTCCTTCCTTTCCTTTCCTTTTCCTCTTTCCTTCCTTCCTTCCCTCATCCCGCACAGGGGGGAAGCTCTTCCCTTGTATTGTTATTTCTGACATCTGACCTCATCGCCCCCAAATAGTCCACACCATGGATGGTGTCGAGAAGCCGCCGCTGCTGTTTCGGCACAACAGCGACAGCCACGACGAGTTGGCAAATGCCTGCCGCGATGGCTCCTGGCCCGCATGCATACTCCAGAGTATCCTTATTCTATATCCTATGGTCTTGTTGATCATCTTCATCGGATCAGCCGCGACCTACACAGTTCTCACGGCAAAAAAAGACGAGGAGGAGTCCAAGGTGGAGACGGACATCTTGGGTCCTGGCGGTAAGAGGCTGCCTGTGACCAAGAAGAAGAAGCGACGCGACGACGACGAAAACCAACGCGTACGAATCGGTCCCGACATGTCCCCGACTTCAAAAGCCTGGCTCAAATGGATCACTCTTGCCGTATTCTTCTCCTTCATCGCCAATGGCATAGCACACATTAGCCATGTTGTTGAGGAATTGGAAAAGGCCGGACTGCCCAAGCATGGAGTGAAGAGGTGGGAGGAATCGCAGAGCATGGCCGTATGCCAATCCCCGCGCTTTCCATCCTCATGGCACGCAGCTAATTGGACATAGGTCTACCTCATAGGCTCGCCGAACCTGTACCTCTACGTATTCATCACCCTTCTCGAATGGCGCACGAGCCCGACGATATCACACTTCATTACCTGGACACTTGGTTTAATCGGCGAATTCACGATCTGCGTCTGCACATTTCTTTGGATCATGGAGCCTCAGTACCTGAAGACGTCCCATGGTGTCGAAGAGATTCCGGCCTCCAAGTGGGACTTGGTTGACCTCATCATTTATGTCGTTCGCCTGGTTCTCATGATGATCCTTGTTGGCATCTACACCACTGCTTGGATCAAGAAGCCCCGACAGCAGGCCGACGACAAGGTTGAGGAGTTGAGCTCTTCTGCGCGGGCTGACGAGACCACGCCTCTCATGAACGGTTCCAGAACATCGTACAGCAGTCAAACCGGCCGGGATGCTAACGGTCGATCGCTGCGCAGCTCTCGGAACGGAAGCCTTGTTGGCAACAGTAACGGTGCTGCAGAGGCCGCCGCTGTCAAGGACGTTCGAGAGCCCGGCTTTTATCGACCCGACAAGGCCCCCCACAAGACTTGGTGGGAATACGTACGCAGCTACAAGATTTTCATTCAGTACCAGTGGCCTCGAGACAACCCTCGCCTGAAGCTGTACTACTGTCTTTGCTGCGTTAATCTCGCCGCGCAGAGAGCTATCAATGTCTTCGTTCCATTGATTGTGGGTTTGCTCACAACGAAGCTGAGCAAAGGCGAATCACCGTGGGGTGTTTTGGCTCTTTTCGTCGTCCTGCGGCTCATGCAAGGCCAGGGAATGCTTCTGGATGCGTTCCGCGCCATAATGTGGGTGCCGATCTCGCAGAACTCCTACAGGGCCTTGACGACGGCGGCCTTTGAGCACGTACACTCCCTTAGCCTGGATTTCCACCTGGGAAAACGAACTGGCGAGGTTCTGTCTGCTCTCAACAAAGGCGCTTCAATCAACACCTTCCTCGAGCAGGCGACATTCTCCGTCCTCCCCATGACTATCGACTTGATATTCGCAATCTCCGTTTTCGCCTATGTTTTCGACCCGACATACGCCGCAATCGTCAGCTGCTTGACATTCTGGTACCTGTTTCTCACAATAAGAATGGCGCAGACTCGGGCCGATCAGAGGAGAATTATGTCAAACGCCGACAGAGAGGAAGAAGCTGTGAAGAACGACTCAATTATGAGCTACGAGACGGTCAAATACTTCAACGCTGAACAGAAAGAATTCGGTCGCTACAGAGACGCTATTGCCGCCTACCAAGACGCCGAAAAGAAGGTTGCGTGGGGTGTCAACCGGATGAACGTCATCCAGGCCTGCATCTTTATTCTCGGATTCAGTGTCGTATTGGTCTTTGGAGCATACCAGGTTACCAGTGGTACCACAGATGTGGGCAGATTCGTCACTCTCCTGACGTATCTAAACCAGCTGCAGTCGCCACTCAATATCTTTGCGTCTTTCTACCGCACCATCCAACAGTCCCTCATCGCAGGCGAGCGCCTGCTGGAACTGTTCAAGGTCAAGGCTACGGTTGTTGATGCGCCAGGTGCCGTACCTTTGACTGAGTGCAACGGCAACATCCGCTGGAACAATGTGGCATTCAATTACGACTCGAAGAACAAGGCGCTTAAGGATCTCAACTTCGAATGCAAGCCTGGAACCACGACCGCGTTTGTCGGCGAATCTGGAGGTGGTAAATCCACAGTCTTCCGCCTTATGTTCCGTTACTACAACACAACCTCAGGAAGCATCGAGATTGACGGCAGGGATGTCAAGGACCTTACTATTGATTCGGTCAGAAGGTTCATCGGAGTCGTCCCTCAGGATACCACACTCTTCAACGAGACACTCATGTACAACCTCAAGTATGCCAGGGAGGGTGTCACAGATGAAGAGGTCTATGAAGCTTGCCGAGCAGCCAGCATTCATGACCGCATCATGTCATTCCCAGACCAGTACAACACCAAGGTCGGCGAGCGAGGATTGAAGCTCAGTGGTGGTGAACGCCAGCGGGTTGCGATTGCCCGAACTATCATCAAGAACCCCAAGATCATTATGCTGGATGAGGCTACCTCAGCTCTTGATGCCCACACCGAGCAGCTGATCCAGGACAAGCTGGGGCACTTGGGCCAGGGTCGCACATTACTAGTCATTGCGTGAGTTTTTCCCTTTGTGTGATTGCCGGCTTTTCAATAGGCGGATGTGCTAACATGTGACACCAGGCACCGCTTATCCACAATCACGCACGCCGATCAAATCATTGTCCTCAACAACGGTACCATTGCTGAGAAGGGTACTCACGAGGAGCTTGTTAACGCCAATGGTCGGTACGCGTCAATGTGGGAGAAGCAAGTGCAGGCCGAACGCGCTGCAGAGAAGGCTCGCGCTGCCAATAGGAAGGCACAGAAACTCCTCAAGAAGGCCAACTTCGGTCCTAAGAAGCAATCGGATGGGCACTCAGACGGATACACTAGCCTTGACTCGTCGACAATCCTGCCCGGAAGCTCAGGAATCAACTCCAAGGCCAATACGACTGGCGAGGATTCATCAAGCGCTTCTAGCAACAGCTCTGATACGGAATCCATTCATAGTGACCACCACCACCACGACTCGGATCATTCGGATCATTCGGAGCACTCTGATCACTCTGATCACTCCGATCATTCTGATCATTCTGATCGTCTTCGGCATCGCTAGACCCAACATCGAAATTCTAGCGTCAAACATGCAAAACGGCATGACTCACGAGGGCCACCAAATTTGGAGATGCCCTCGACGACACCACCCAACACCACTACTCATTCTCACCCCTAATTTGTGATTACCGTTCACCTGGTACCACACAATACTTTCATGAACACAACGAGGCACGCGCCTTTTTACGAATCAGTTACTACGGATTAACGGCTTTAAGATTGCATCAAACCGGCGACTCGGAGTTTGGAGTTCATATACATCGTTCTCTTTCATCTCTCTCTCATCATTGGGACCCCGAAAACATAAAAGGACTTTCACGAGTGGTACAAAAACGGCGGCTTCGAGAACGGAATCTCAGCCCGACTCGGTTGGTTGGTTGGCAGGGGGCATCATTCTCAAATCAACATTCAAAGCACACGACTTTCTCTCAGCTGCACCACACTCAGCCTTCGATTCACAATGTCTTTTCACGACCGTTGAGTGCAAATCGGCTTTCGACCGGATATTGCATTGGTGGTTCGGCATCATCATCATCATACAGGGAGGGGAACGTTCTTCCTTTAATCATGGGACCTCTACATCAAGAATTACTTTTTCCGATTATTACAGGGTCATCACCTGCTACCATGGGCAGGCTGTTCGACATCGCGACGCAGATACCACAGTCTTACATACCAGGATTTGGTCCTTTCTTTCGATTCGGCAGTCGGGGGGGGGTTGGATTTCGGGAAAAGGCTTGGGTAAGCCTTGCGGGGGACGGTAGTGCAGGAACGGAAGGTTTTGGCATTGGCATTTTGAAATCCCTTCTCGCACGACTTGCGGAGGGTGTGGGCGGATGACAGCAGGACCACCTCGTTTTCCGAGGAGGACCAGCTGTCGTATAGCTTACTTACTTTGCTTGCATTTTTGGCTCCCGATTAGGGATGGATGGGACCACGAGAAACAAAGATGGAGGACGGGATTTCTCGACTGCTTTTTTCATGTTTTCATGTTTTTTTTTGGGGTGGGTGGCTACAAATGCCAGCTTCACAGCTACGGTCCATAGACACATCGTCAGGCAGAAATGCCAAAGACGAGAATTGCTTGCTGCCGAAAATAGGCAGGTTTGTTCAAGGTACAACTCCGTAACATGATGTCGTGTCCAAGTGATGATGCAGTTGTAGGCGACCACGCTAGGATGGTCGACAGCGAACACGTTCTCGATCAGGCCCAACACATGTAATTGTATCTCCTTGACTGTAGATATATTGAGGTCAAACGTCAGACTCTCGTCGCTACGGACTACTTGGTATCGTAGGAAAAGCAGAGCGTCTCTAAGTTTCGGTCCTCCGCAAGAACCCGGCGCACGAGGCCATGGATTCCGTTTTTGGTCTCCCTCTCCGTCCGTCCCGCAACCAGTATCAGGCGCTGTCTATGCCGAATCAATCATCCTAGGTTTCTCTGTTGCGTTCCTCAAGGCAACATTTCCGAGGAACGAGGTGGATTGTTGTCTCAGTCGAAGATCACCACACAAAATGTCCACCGCCTTTTACTCGAAAGTCCTAAACGGTCCCCAAAGTCGCGCGCGCTGTCATGAGGTTTTATTGTGTGAGATTCAGACTCAGATGCTGTTGAGCATGAGAAGTGAGTGCGTGCATCGATTGGTGCACATGCGCGGGCGCAAGCGGTGTGAAGGGGGTGGTCGAATCGCGCGCGAGGAGGGTGCGCCGTCATCGTCCACAGACGCACACCTGTCTCACTTCATCCACAGACGCACAACCCACCCAACACGAACCGACGACACCTTGTGTGTCTTGGCACCTCACCCTCAGCCACAGTCATGCTTCGTTCAGCCAGCTAACCCCGGCTACTCTTCGCCGCAGATAACCGCCATGTTCTGTTCAGTCGCCTGTCGGCCGACCTCGAATTTTCCGTTCGTTTCGGGAGACCAAAGCTCTCGTCACGCGTCTCGTGGACGGTGGGCTTACGATGAACACCTGCGGCACTGACTGAGTCCGCAGGCCGTTGCGATTCCATCAGCGGATTGCGGCTAACAACGGCGCCATCCCAGCTCGTGTTAGGTATCGTGATCCGATGAACCTTTTCATCGTTGGCGGCGTTGAGCCGGCGATGCTTGTGGAGTCGAACTGTCGCCTGATGAGTTTTTTTCGTGCTACATCTTCCCCTTCTTCTTAGGCTGACCCGTACCCAGCTGCAATGCGCGACAGTTTTGTTATGCAAGCGAATGACTTCATGAATCAAAAACACCAAATATCATGCATCGTTTCAATTCCTTGCCAGAATTGTTTATCTCGCGCGGCCGTTGACAGACCTGGCCTTTGCCGCCGCACTGGTACTCGCGCCCGTCGTGTGACCGTTGGTCGTCTCTGCAGGCAAAGCTTTCTGCTGGGTTTCGTCCTCGGCATCCGTGCCCTCCGCCTCGCTCCGGTCATCCTCGGCTATGTCATAGGCAAGAAAGCGATAAGCTATGCGGAAGATGTGGAAAAGCCAAAAGAGGTTCAGGGCTTGGAGAGAGCCCAGGAGGCCGAGGGTGATGTACTGAGACAGGGTGCACTTGTACTGCTGGGTGGCCCAGTTCAACTCGAAAGGGCCGACAGTGGTATACTCGGTGAAAAGTGACAAGATGATCTTAAGGTTGATGTAATGACGCAGGTAAATCCAAACACTGACGAAGAAGAAGAAGTATGGTGCAACAATCGGCGAGTCGATGTAGTTGAGCACCTTGGAAGTCTATGGCACTTATCAGTAAATTGTTCCCTTTGCCGCTTCCCCGGCCGAATTTTACAAAGTATGTTAATGCGGGTTTCGGAAACTTACAGCGAGGAAGAAGTCGCTAATGTCGTGAGTGGTATAAACAGCTAGTCCCATGTAGGTGAAGTGAAAGCGGTAACTCAGGGCAATCAGAGCAAGGCTAACAATGTGGTGCCCGACCAACTCCTTGAAGTCCTTGCGAGGCTTCTCAAGGCCAAGTAACAGAACGAGGGCTTGTTGTGCCCAGTACGCGGCCTGGAATAGGTAATAGAACTTGAAACCGGCCTCGTGAGACACATGCGGAAAGTCCTCGTACATGCCTCGTGTGCTAAAGTACCAGACAGGCGTCTTGCTCATGACATACAAGCCGGCAGGACCCAGACAAGCAAAGTATATAGCCGTATACATCTGCTCCATGAACCGAGCCTGCTTTCCGCGAGACCGAAGACCAGCGGCACGAGCTAGCGGGCGCAAGAATTCTTGCATGATGAACTCGCGAGTAAAAGTGAGGACGATGGTCCAGAAACCCACGAAGGCTATGTCCCATAGTCCTTTGCCATATTGAATTGGTGCATCGGGCTTGGCCGGGTCCGGAGGCAGACGGTACGAGAGGAAGATGAAGCGAGAGGCAGTGTTCGAGTCGGAGGGGTCTACGGCGTATGCGCCGCCGAAGATGGCGATGACGATGGCGGGAACGAGGTAGGTGTATCTGATCATGGCCTGACGGAAACGAGAGAGGACGCCGCGTGCACGCCGGCGTTTTGAAACTCTTTTGGTTGTAGGACTAGACTGAGGTGAGAAAACGGGGTTGTCAGTTGAGTCAACATAGAAAGAGGAGGGGATGTTGAACTGGAATGTCCAGCTACAGGCTTCTTCAAGATGAGGATAGCAGGGGAGGAGCACTTACTGGTGGGATGGGGCTGTCTCCGGCAGTGTAGCTTGCGAGTGCAGGGCCTGTGTCACCGGCACGAATATCCTGGCCGAGGGCACTGGACTTCCGACGTCGTGTAGTGCGGGAGGAATTTGAGGAATGGTGGTCAATGACGGAGTGCAATTGGTCGACGGAGGTGTTGAGGAGAGGGAAAGGTTCGGAGTCGGCCATTGTCGCAAAGGAAGTCCTCTTGGGACGGTGTCTCGGTTCGTTTAAAGCAGCTGGAGGCGCGGGACGGGGAGGGCGGAAAGCTGACTGATTTGTGACCTCGAGGGAGAGACGTGGAAGGGAGGGATGGATGGACGAGGCAGGACGATTCGGCAAAGATAGGAAGGGAGGAAAGGATGTCGGGGTTTGAGTTCTAGAGCACTTTCTTGCGGGTGCGGAGGAAGAATGCCGGACAGGGCAAGAGGTGGGTGAAAAGGAGGTTGTTGGTTATTAGACGTCGAGATGGTCAGGGGGGCACGTTGTCGATCATGGAAGTGCGGGCAAAAAAAGGTAAGGCGAACGCTGCACCGTTTGGCGGGTCTGTGGAGCGGAGCAGGAGCAGTATGAGGCAGAGGCAGAGGCAGAGGCAACAGCTGCGACAGTCAAAGTGAGGTGGTGCCTTACTCGGGAGCCGTACAACGAGGTCCAAGGCCGTCTCAAGGGTGTTCCCTGGCCCTGCTTTGTTTCGTCGTCGAATTCGTCTGACCGGCGACCAGTCAGTCGTCTGTTTTTGCTTCTCTTTCCAGGCCCTGCCAACGGGGTCAGAGCGGGAAGCAAGCCCGGGGAGAACGGACAGTCAGGAGGTGCAAGGCAGGCAGGGCGGGCGAGATGGTTGAAATGGAGAAAACAGACAGACAGTGACAAGGTGAAATTAAGCAAACATAAGGAGTAATAGGAATAAAAGATGGCGCAACGGAGAAGAAGGAAGGAAGAAAAAAAAAAAAAACCCCATGCCAAGAAGGGGAGCTGTCGAGAGCTATTGGCCAACCAAATTGCACGAAGCCGGGGTTCCATCTGCCGGGACCTCGTCGGGGCGCCCCACCCATCAACGCTCCACACCCGCGCACCCTGGCCGACTTACACTTACCTCATCTTGCATGGCAATCCTCCATGGTCCCCACCTGCACGAGAGCGATGCACCGTACCTGCGTGCTGTGCTGGTGACACTACGCAGTACCGACCCTCGGGGAGCAACTCCAAGAAAGCGCAATGGGGGCTTTCTGAGTAAGGCACTTCAGGCAAAGAAAGACCCGGGCCACTACCTCTGACGGGACACAGGCTTTTTTCGAGAACGGCATGGTTCTGGAACATTGGAAGCCGTGCCATGTGA